AGAACAGAACTAGAACAGAACTAGAACAGAACTAGAACAGAACTAGAACAGAACTAGAACAGAACTAGAACAGAACTAGAACAGAACTAGAACAGAACTAGAACAGAACTAGAACAGAACTAGAACAGAACTAGAACAGAACTAGAACAGAACTAGAACAGAACTAGAACAGAACTAGAACAGAACTAGAACAGAACTAGAACAGAACTAGAACAGAACTAGAACAGAACTAGAACAGAACTAGAACAGAACTAGAACAGAACTAGAACAGAACTAGAACAGACTAGAACAGAACTAGAACAGAACTAGAACAGAACTAGAACAGATCTAGAACAGAACTAGAACAGAACTAGAACAGAACTAGAACAGAACTAGAACAGAACAAAACAGAACAAGAACAGAACTAGAACAGAACTAGAACAGAACTAGAACAGAACTAGAACAGAACTAGAACAGAACTAGAACAGAACTAGAACAGAACTAGAACAGAACTAGAACAGAACTAGAACAGAACTAGAACAGAACTAGAACAGAACTAGAACAGAACTAGAACAGAACTAGAACAGAACTAGAACAGAACTAGAACAGAACTAGAACAGAACTAGAACAGAACTAGAACAGAACTAGAACAGAACTAGAACAGAACTAGAACAGAACTAGAACAGAACTAGAACAGAACTAGAACAGAACTAGAACAGAACTAGAACAGAACAGAAACAGAACTAGAACAGAAACTAGACAGAACTAGAATATAGTGCCATCCCTGCAAATATATGTAAATACTCCTTATATTATGTAAGCACGCCTACAATGTAAACACGCGTTTAGAATAAGATAATAATAAGAAGATGATAATAAAGAAAGATGATGCAGACGATCATTCTTTGTCTAACCTTGAAACAAACAGGTTGTTTGATTTATTTAAAAATAAGAATAAAAGTATAATATGGCGACCGTGACAGGACAGTTGAAAACTAAACAAAAGAATTTGTGGTATTTGCAAAAATAAAATACAAAAATAGTGACATAAAGTTATAAAAAAAAAACTACTAAAAAAATAAAACCTAACATAAAAGGAAAAGTTGTTTTAAAAAAAAAAAGGAAAATGTGTTGAATATTATAAGTGTATGAAAAAAAACCTAATTAAAACCATTACTTATAACTAACCTTTAAAATCAAAAGAAAATAACGTTTAAAAAAATCATCATGAAAATGTGTAACTTCACAATAACTAATAAATAAAATATAATGTAATTTTTCAAAATAATCTTAAAACTTTACAAACAATTATATTGAACCACAAAAAAAAAATCTCTAACAATTACAAAAAAAGAAGAAAAACAACAACAATAAAACCATTTACAAAAAAAAAAGAAGAACACTTATAGACAAATCACTGTGTTGTTGTGGAAATCGCAAAATGCGTAGTACTTGTGCAAATATTTAAAGGTACCGTTATTGCAAATAATTCGTGGCGTGATTGTAAAAATGCAAAATGGTACAGTACTTTCAAAAGTGCTTATTGCAAATAAGAATATAAAGTGTGGTGAAAAAAAACACAAACTTAACAAACACAAAAGAAAAATTTGATCTTTAAAAAAAAATGTAACGGAAAAAAATCATAAGAATAAATAATGAAGCAAAGTGAAAAAAGAGGAATAAAGAAAAAAAAACAGGACACAACATAATAAAACTAAAGGAAAAAAACACAAGAATCAAGAACGAAAAACAATATTGAAATATAAAAAAAAAAAATCGCACATAAAATAATAAACATATAGAAAACCAACATTTAATAAAATATAAAAAAAATACAAAAATAAAATTTAACAAACAGAATATTATCTATTAAGATATAAAAACAAAATTATTTTGAAAATTGATAAACTTAAAACGGAAAACAGTTTGAAAAAAATACAAAAAATGAAAAAATAAGTAAGAAATGAAGTGAATTGCAGATGGACAATTAACAATAAGAAAAAACCAAACAACAAGCAAAATAAAGAGATGGAGACAATGAAATGCAACCGAAGATTTATAACAGCTAAAACAACAAAATAAAGAGATGGAGTAATAAAATGCAAACGAAGATGGACAATAGCTAAAACAACAAAATAAAGAGATGGAGAAATTGAACTGAAGATGGACAATAACAAATAAGGAAATAAGGAAAAACATCAGGGATGGAATAAGGGTAACAGTTGAAGTTATTTGTAAATATGTAAATATTATTAGATTATTAATCATATACTTAAAACTATAACTATCATTCTTAATTATTAATCCTTTTTTTTCTACTACTACATAATATTTTAAGCTTCTTCTAATTACAAAATAATTAAGATATTCGAAATTAGTTTACAACTTTGTTAAATATTAATATATAAAATTAATTATAGATATAAGAAATTTTATATCCATAATAATATTTAAAATTACTTGTAAATTTTACTAAATAGATAAGAAATTTTATATTAACAATATTAATAATATTAATAATTAATAATATTTAAAATTACTTATACTTTTCTAAATTTATAAAAAGATTTTATTTTATATAAATATTCAAAACTATTCAAAAAAACCTTTAAAAATAAGAATTTGTAAATATATATATATTATATATAAAACAAATAAACTATAATGTTTTACAAATGTCAGAGTTTAATAACACAAGGTTTAATGAACTAGTTTTTGAATTTTATAAAATAAAGAGAAGAGTTTTGCAACGTAGACCATTAACAAAAAATGTCGATAAACTTAATGAATATATCTCACTTCTAACAGAAACTTATAATGCCATACTAGAATATACAGAAACAAGATATAAAGAATTATTACCTTCCAATAGGAAACCAATTCTCAAGAAAATTAAACACTGTCGACAACTTTTAGTAAATTGTTTCAATAAATTAGAATGTAGAATAAAAGTCCCGGAAGGAAAAAACTTATTTACATATATAAAAAAAGAAATTGTGTTAGAAAGTGATAGTAATAGTGACTCGGACAACATTTCTAATAGTGATAACAAGGATAGTATAGAAATTTCTGAAACAATGGCTACAATAGAACAGAAAAAATCGTTTATAGGCATGTGCGCGTCTATTATAAGAGATAATTACGATGGTAACCCACTGTCTTTAGATTCGTTTCTTGACAAAATAGATTTAATAGAAGAATTGACTGAACCAAACTTAACAACAACTTTTGTGCATTTTATAAAATCTAAATTGGAAGCAAAAGCTCGTGAAGCATTGCCAGATAACGTTACTACAATTGATGAAATTAAAACTGCTTTGAAAACAAATATTAAACCTGATAGTTCGAAAGTTATCGCGGGTAAAATTTCAGCTCTTACGGTTAAAAATGATAATTTTGCGGATTTTTCAAAGCAAGCAGAGCTACTTGCTGACGCTTTCAAACGTTCTTTGACTGTCGAGGGAATAACTAAGAAAAAAGCTCACGAAATGGCGGTTGAACAAACAGTTGCAATGTGTAGATTAAATGCTAAATCCGATTTGGTAAAGTCAATCTTAGCATCCTCATCCTTCTCAGACCCGAAAGAAGTTATTGCGAAACTAGTAGTCGAACAAACGGCTGAAACAAAAGAACGTCAGGTTTTGGCATTCAGGAATCAAGGTAGCAATAGAACCAATAGTTATCAAAACAAAAATTTTCCTCGTTTTCGTAACAATTATTACCGTGGCAGTAACCGTAGATATTTTAATAACAATTACAATAACAATTTTAGAAGAAACAACAATTTTGCAAACAATCAAAATAACAATAATTATCGTCGTAATGGTAGAAATGGACAAAATAACAATAACCAAAGGGCTTCAGTAAGGACTTTAAACGTGGAAGACCCTCAACAGAATATGTTGAGGGAGGAAAACGAAACACAAAATCAGAATTAGATACCCAACATTTTAAATCAGTTTACAGCTTAAACCCTAATTATGCAGATTTTATAAAACTAAACTGTGTTGACGCAGATAAAACCTGTTCTTTTCTTGTAGACTCACAAGCAGACATATCTTTAATTAAAATTTCTTGCTTAAATCAAAATATTTTTTTGAACAAGAATGAAATAATCAATATTACAGGTATTACTCCGAACTCTTTAACTACTTTAGGTACAATTTGTACAAGTATAATTGTGTCAGATTCTATAATTCCACAAGTTTTCCATGTAGTAAGCAACAATTTCAATATACCATCCGAAGGAATATTAGGCAAAGATTTTCTGAAAGACAATAAGTGTGAAATTAATTACGAAAATATGACCATAACAGTTCGTGACAGGAATAAGAGATTAGTCGTGCCAATATTGCAAGGTACTAAAAATTTTACTTGTGTTATCCCACCAAGGTGTGAGGTATATAGAACTTTTAACTTATGCGGAATTACAGAACCCATGTTTGTAGATTCACAACAAATTTGCAAAGGCGTATTTATCGGTAAGGGCATTATAGACTCAAACAATCCAGTCATACGAATAGTAAATACTACTAATGAATTTAAATGCATACAAAATGACAAAGTCAATGCGGAAAAGTTACGAAATTTTAATATATATTCGATAAATGAAAATGTGAAAAATAGTGAACGTATAGGCAAATTAGAAAATGTACTACAAAATCAAATGCCGGATGATGTAAAAGATAGTCTTATGCCACTCTGTAGGGAATTCGAAGATATTTTTGCGTTGAAGGATGACAAAATGTCAATTAATAATTTCTATGAGCAAAAATTTCGATTAGTTGATCAATCCCCAATATATATAAAAAATTATAGGCTTGCTCATTCACAAAAACACGAAATTAATAGACAAGTGAACAATTTATTAGCAAATGATTTGATTGAACCTAGTTTTTCCAATTTTAATAGTCCACTAATTCTGGTACCCAAAAAGAGTACAGATGATCAAAAGTCGTATAGGATGTGCGTAGATTATCGGGCCGTCAATAAGAAACTCATAGCGGACAAATTCCCTTTACCTCGCATTGACGATATTCTAGACAATTTAGGTCGAGCAAAATATTTTTCTGTTGTTGATTTATTTTCTGGTTTCCACCAAATCCCACTACATTCCGACTCGCGTGACGTAACTTCTTTTAGTACCGACAAAGGCTCTTTCCGATGGAAGGTCTTACCCTTTGGATTAAATGTGGCACCTAATTCTTTCTCAAGAATGATGTCCATAGCGTTTTCTGGACTTTCTCCCAACAAAGCATTTTTATATGTAGACGACATTGTCATAGTCGGTTGTAGCAAACAACACCATTTGAGTAATTTAAAGGATGTTTTTAATGTTTTAAGATCTCATAATTTAAAGTTGAATCCATACAAATGCAATTTCTTTCGTTCTGAAGTAACGTTTTTAGGGCACAGATGTACCGCGAATGGTCTTTTGCCGGATGATACAAAAATAAACGCAGTTAAAACTTATCCTGTTCCAACAGATAAAGACGCAGTAAGACGCTTTGTCGCATTTTCAAACTATTATAGGCGCTTTATACCAAATTTTGCAATAATAGCAGCACCATTAAACCGTTTAACACGAAAAAATATACACTTTAGTTGGGATGAGAAATGTCAAAAATCTTTCGATCATTTAAAGTCAATGTTAATATCTCCCAGGATTTTACAATATCCAGACTTTTCAAAAACATTCATTATAACAGTAGATGCTTCAAAACTTGGTTGTGGAGCTATATTGAGCCAGAACTTTAATGGTAACGATTTGCCAATTTACTTTGCCTCAAAATCGTTTAATCAGTCAGAACAGAAAAAACCCACAATTGAGCTTGAACTGCTGGCAATTTACTTCGCAATTACACAATTTCGACCATATGTCTATGGCACACCTTTTATAGTTAGATCGGATCATAGACCACTTGTTTATCTTTTTAACATCAAAGACCCTTCTTCAAAACTTACCAGAATAAGATTAGAACTTTCAGAGTACAATTTCACCGTCGAATATATCAAAGGCAAATCAAATGTAGCAGCAGATGCATTGTCAAGAGTTAGCATAAATGAACTAAAGAATAATACAGACAAGCATATACTCGCAGTGACAACGCGTTCAATGTCAAAGAAACCCAATAAAAACATTGCATTTAAACCTTTCAATGAAAAACCTCTTAATTTGAAAATTTACGACAAATTTTCTCATAACTTTAGTAAGAAAATAGCAAAAATTAGAACCGAATTATTTCACAATGATCAAAAACAAAAAATATTGCGTTTAAAAATATATATAAAATTTAAAAAATTGCTGTCTTTAGACTTTGATTTCGTTAACGAAACAATTAGTTTTGACTATTTGCTTTCGAGGCTAGAAAAGGAAGCCAACGAACAGGGAATCTATAGTGCAGAATGGCCAAAAGATGATTTATTTTTCAAAATTTTTACAATACAGAAATTGAAAGATTACGGTAATAAAATATTGAAGACTCTTGAAATAATTCTTACTGAACCTATCGCTATAGTAAAAAATGAAGATGAGAAGATTAAAATTATGCAAATATATCATAATGACCCAGTAATAGGAGGTCATTGCGGACAAAAGAGGCTTTATGCAAAAATCCGAACGAAGTATTATTGGAAAAGAATGACAAAGGACATTGCTAAATTTGTGCGGAATTGCACCAAATGTTGTTTAAACAAAGTTAGGCCTTCAAATACTGAAAAACTTACTTTAACTCCAACTCCTAACAGAGCATTTGAAATTGTTGTTATAGATACTATAGGTCCATTACCTCAAACTGCGTTTGGAAATAAATATGCCATAACAATAATGTGCGATTTGTCAAAATACCTGATATCAATAGCAATACCTGATAAATCAGCCAAAACTGTTGCTAAAGCTATTTTCGAAAACTTTATTTTAATATATGGGAAGATGAACATTATTAAATCGGATTTAGGAACTGAGTTCAAAAACGAAATTTTAACTGAGCTATGCAAATTTTTAGAAATCGAAATCAAATTCTCAACTAGTTATCACCATGAAACATTAGGAACCGTGGAACGTAATCATCGCGTTTTCAACGAATACACTAGGGCTTACTTAAATGAAAATTTATCTGACTGGGACACATATTTGAAATATTATACATTCTATCACAATACTACACCTAACACAGTTTTCGACAATAAGTTTACTCCTTTTGAATTGGTTTTCGGCAAAAAGGCAATAATGCCTAATGAAATAAATAACAATATTGAACCTATTTACAATATCGACAATTACAGTAAAGAAATTAAATACAGGCTTCAAAAAACTAATTTACTTGCTAAAGAGTTATTAGAAAAACATAAAGTTAGAAGCAAAAAGTTTTACGACAATTCTGCAAATCCTATAAATTTAAAAATAAATGACAAAGTTTTATTAAAAATTGAACCATATGATAAACACAAAAATATTTATGATGGTCCATATATTGTAAAAAAAATTTTTGATACTAACGTAATAATTTACAATGAATTAACAAAAAAAGAAAAAACTGTACATAAAAACAGAATAAGAAAATACTAAAAGTTTGTATATTAGATTTAATTTTACACTAATTTCATTTTCAAAAAGAAACATTTCAAAATTTTAAAAGTAAACAAAAAAATGAAGAAAAAAAAAATAAAAAAAAACGTAAGTAAAATACATAAACCATATTTGTAAATAAAATATATGTATATTAATGAAAGAACAAAAAAAAAAGATGGGAAGGAATCCCTATAGAAATTAAAATTATATATATATATATGTATATACAAAATTTATCATACAATTAAAACTTTGTAATGAAAAAGGTATAAACAAAGAGGAAAGAAATTAAACATTTACAAATTAAAATTTGTATACATAGCAATAGAAATTAAACATTTATAAATTAAAATTTTTATCACATAATCAAAATATTTATTTTTTGTAATACAATTAAAATCTTTGTAATGAAAAAAAGTACAAACAAAACGAAAGAGGGGAAGGAATCCCTATAGAAATTAAACATTTATAAATTATTTTTTTATGAAATAATCAAAACTTTTTGTAATAAAGGGAGGTATAGTGCCATCCCTGCAAATATATGTAAATACTCCTTATATTATGTAAGCACGCCTACAATGTAAACACGCGTTTAGAATAAGATAATAATAAGAAGATGATAATAAAGAAAGATGATGCAGACGATCATTCTTTGTCTAACCTTGAAACAAACAGGTTGTTTGATTTATTTAAAAATAAGAATAAAAGTATAATAAGAACAGAACTAGAACAGAACTAGAACAGAACTAGAACAGAACTAGAACAGAACTAGAACAGAACTAGAACAGAACTAGAACAGAACTAGAACAGAACTAGAACAGAACTAGAACAGAACTAGAACAGAACTTGAACAGAACTTGAACTAGAACAGAACTAGAACAGAACTAGAACAGAACAGAACTAGAACAGAACTAGAACAGAACTAGAACAGAACTAGAACAGAACTAGAACAGAACTAGAACAGAACTAGAACAGAACTAGAACAGAACTAGAACCGAACTAGAACAGAACTAGAACAGAACTAGAACAGAACTAGAACAGAACTAGAACAGAACTAGAACAGAACTAGAACAGAACTAGAACAGAACTAGAACAGAACTAGAACAGAACTAGAACAGAACAAGAACAAGAACACAGAACTAGAACAGAACTAGAACAGAACTAGAACAGAACTAGAACAGAACTAGAACAGAACTAGAACAGAACTAGAACAGAACTAGAACAGAACAAGAACAGAACTAGAACAGAACAAGAACAGAACAGAACTAGAACAGAACTAGAACAAACTAGAACTGAACTAGAACTGAACTAGAACTGAACTAGAACTGAACTAGAACTGAACTAGAACTGAACTAGAACTGAACTAGAACTGAACTAGAACTGAACTAGAACTAAACTAGAACTGAACTGAACTAGAACAGAAATATAAGTGAAATGAAATATACGTACATATGTAGAAGTTTGGTACCATCCTAATGTAAATAAATACCCATACACACAGACATTTGTTTAATCCCAGCAAACTACTAATATTGCTCAAAAATAGAGAATGATTTGAAATTGAAACCATTTTCAAATGTAGCTCTGGAAAGTTCTTCATATTTATTAAAATTATTATTTCTATAAAAATCACGAAGTAAAATTTTATCTTCTCAATACCTAAACTTTCATGAAACATTCTCAAACATTAACATTTTAGAAAGATTTTCTTTTCAAATCGGTCACTTGAAAATCAACATTTTTAGAAATATTTTTCTACAAATTTGTTTAGAGTTTTGAAATTTCCATATTTTTTTTCAAATATTTGACCTGCTATGTTGGTTGGGTAATGTGAACGAACACATTTAAAAACTTTTCTCTATAAATTGTGTGGAAATTGTCTTTTACATATGGATCTTGTTGGCTACTCCAGCATGTTTTCGAAATAAAATATTTTTATTTAATAAAATTTATGATAAATAAAATAGTTATAGAATATGGTAGGTAGTTAAGCATAAGTATATAATCGTATGTGTACATTTAAAGAAAAACTTTCTGCAAAAGTTTGAAAATCCTTTGGTGCAACAATAACAACAGCCATACACTTACCTGTAAAGAAAAGAACAGAAAATGGAGAATTTAATTTTAAAATTGTTGTTGTGATAGAAAATAAAAATTATTTAAAAAAAGGAAATTATTGTTTGTAAAACGGAAATATAATTTTGGGTGAAATAAAAATCACAAAAGAATGTTAGAAATGTTTGGTATGTATGTAGTAAGAAACTATTTTATTTAGAAAAATTGCGTTATTTTGCAAAATAATTTATAGAACATATTTTCAATTAAACCTAAATAAGATAAAATGGATTTAAATTGTAAAAGTGTACATTTAATTAAACATTTTAAGAAGAAGTACTTAATATTTAAGTTTCTCCGGAAATGTAGCATTACTTTACTTAGCAGTACACCAGTGGCTACAAATGTAATTCAAACTATATAAAACTATATAAAATTTGTTCCATGATCACCATACACCTTCCAAATGTGTATATATTAATCACCTACACAAATTCTTATCTTAATTGAAATGTTACACATACATTAATATATGTAATAAATAATTGTATATTTTATTAATATTTAATTTAGTTTTTTGCCTATTCTACTTATAATAATATATAAATAATTTATTATTTAACTGATATTAATATTATTCATTGGAACATAT